TATTTTTTTCCTCGCTCGTCGACGACCAGTGTGGATGGAGCATATGGGGCTAAACTGGCTCTTGTAGCTTGACTAAAGGAAGCATGAACAGGTGCACCTTTGCTGCTGGCTTGACCTCCATCAGATGGGTTTTGCATGGCTGCAGCAGCGTCTCTCGTGGTAGGCGTAGGTGCTGCCAGAGCTGCCATAACTGTCATTGCTGTTTTCTGCCTTGCTCTGCCGCGTGAGCCTTCTCTGCTGTACCCACTACTATGCCCACTCCAACTGCTGACAGTCACAATACCTCCTCCCCCACAATTCCCCTCACGATTCTCACCACTATTTCGACCACCATGCGCCCCACCACCACTCCCACTGCCATCATCCCTCCTCGCTGCCGGACCTCCTCCCAATTCCTCCCTTGCACCTGTTGCCCCCTGGACTATCCCCACTGGTAAGCATTTCCTTTTTACTTCAAATTCCTCTTCTTCTTCATCCTCCTCCTGCTTCTCCTCCTCCCTCCCTCTCTTATTACCCCTCTCTTCCTTGCTTCTTCTCCAAAGCACTCCCACTTGTCCGTTCTTCTCCACTTGTCTCCCCTCTTCCCTTCTTACCGCATCTCGTTCACCCTGCCTCTTGACCTGCCTTCCCTCCTTGCTTTTCCAAACTTCTCCTGTGAAGCAAATATTGCTAGCAGCAGCACCAGAAGCAGCAAAACCAACAGCAGAAGCAGCACCAGCACCAGCATTACGAGCAGCTGCAGCACCGGAGAGTGCAAGCTGAGCGTTGAGGAGATGAGGTGCTCGGCGATTCAACATAAAAGGATTGGCACCACTGTCACCACCACTACCAACACCACCGCTACCACCACCAACATCAGCAACAGGCGCTGCAGCATTAGCAACAGGTGCTGCAGAATCAGCAGCATCTAGAGCAGCACCAGGAAACGCTATCTGTGCATTGAAGCGGTGAGATGCCTGGCAACTCGCCAGAATGGGACTGGCGCTGCTGCCACCATTCATGTCAGCAATAAGGGCCGCAGCACCAGCAACATCAGGTGAAGAAACAGCAGCAGCAGAAAATGAAAGTTGTGCATTGAAGATATCAGGTGCTAGGTGGTCTGCCGAAACAGCACTAGCACCACCGCCACCACTGCTGCCAGCAACAGGGACTGTATCATCAGCAGCATCAAGAGAAGCGGCACCAGCAGCAGCAGCAGCAGCAGCAGCAGCAGCAGCAGCAGCAGCAGCAGCAGCAGCAGCAGCAGCAGCAGCAGCAGCAGCAGTAGAAATTGCAAGTTGTGTGTTGAAGATATCAGGTGCTCGGGAATGCGCCAAAACGGGACTAGCACCACCACCACCGCTGTCAGCAACAACAGCAGGCAAAGAAGCAACAGCAGCAGTAGCAGGAGGTGCAAAAGCAGTAGCATCCGGAGGAGCACCAGGAGTTGAAGCAGCAATGGCAGGATTCGCAGTAAGTCCAGAAGCAGGAGCAGGAGCACGTGATGCAACGGCTTCCGGCAGATGAGCATGGGAGAATGCAGGCATGAGGGAACATGGGGGCACGGGGGCATGAGCATGCATGGAAGCAGAAAGAGGGGTGCCTAGTTGCATGCGGAAATGGGCTGCTCCATTCCTGGGTTCACTTCTGGTTACCCTTGCTGCTGCCCCAATAGAAGTACCTCCTCGTAAACCTCCTCCCAATCCTATTCCTCCTCCTCCTCCTCCTCCTCCTCCTCCTTCCCCCACTCCTTTAATCCCTCCTCCTGACTTTACTTCTTCTTCATGTCTTCCCCATTGCCCTGACTCCCGTATGCAGCCTCCCTCCCTTTGTACCGCATCAAACCGTACAAGGCCCACCTGCATCTCACGTGCCTCAGACTCAGCCCTACTTACCCCCATCAGGGGAATCTTTGCCGGCTGATCAGCCTCTAAGTTTTGAGCTGTCTCAGAACTAGCTGCCGCATTTCCTCCCATTGGATGAATTTCCGCCTGTCTGTCAGCCATAGAAGGATATCGAGCTGCTGGTGAGGCAGTAGAGTTAGGAGAAACAGCACCACGGCCAGCAGAATCGACAGTGGCAGTAGCAACACCAGCAACAGCAAGAGCAGGAGAGCCAGAAGCAGCAGCAGCAGCAGCAGCAGCAGGTGCAGGTGCAGGAGACAGGGACAGAGACAAGGAGAGGTCCAGATCCTGCTGGGGTAAGGTCATGCTTTCATAATTGCCAGGATTCACACCACCACATGCATCTCTTATGCTTCCCGAGACCGTTCCCACTGCTGCGAAAGGGCGAAGCCCCCCCCCACCTGCTGCAGCAGTAGCTAAGCTTGCGCCAGAGCATGTGTTCTGAACTCTCGGATTGCATGCAGGTCTTAAAGCCGGAGTGACGGAGAACTGAGAGTGGGCGAGACCTGAGATGCTGAGACCATTGCTCCCTCCTTCTGCTGCTCCTCTTGGACTGTTCGCGAATCCCATTCCACCTTCCACTGAATCTGCGGAGGATTTAATTTCCCCAATTCTTTCTATTCCTCCTGCTCCTACTATTCTTGCTACCCCTCCTCTCTCTCCTCTCCCTCCTCCAACATCCCTCTCGTGCACACTTCCATTTTCAGTGTTTCCCTCCACAATCCCCATCCCTCTCAACAACCCACTTGTTGACCCTTCTCCGCCTTCACGTCCCAATATCCTTAAAACAGCAGCCAGAGTTGGCGATGAAGGGGCTTCTACCCCGTGCGCACCCGCCCCAGCCATCCCTTTGCTGTTAGGTTGTGGTCTCGAAGCAGGAAGGTCAGACAAAGCTGATGCTGCTACTTCACCAGAGCATGTTATCTTCCGGGAATGTAAAGCCGATGCTGCTACTGCACCTGAGCCTGTTACTCTCCGGGAAGATAAAGCTGCTGCTCCTGCACCGGAGCCTGTTACTCTTGCTGCGCTTGCACGAGCTCCCTGATGCATGTCTATGTTTGGTAGGTCTGCTATCTTTGGCAATCCATTTCTCCCTGAGGCTTTTGAGGCTGCCCCAGCGATCATTATAATAATAGCAGCTATGATCCTTTCCTGCTGCTGTTCTAGCTGCTGCAGCAGCTGCTGTTGTTGCTTCTGTTGTTGCACCAGCTGTTGCCGCTCTCGTCACCCCTGCTGATGTTGCTGCCCCTCCCCCTGACTCTCCAGCAGCTTCTGCTGCTGCTGCTGCCGCTGCTGCTGCTGCTGCTGCTGCTGCTGCTGCTGCTGCTGCTGCTGCTGCTGCTGCTGCTTCTGCTGCTGCTGCTGTTGTTGTTGTTGCTGCTGCTGCTGCTGCTGCTGCTGCTGCTGCTTCTGCTGCTGCTGCTGCTGCTGCTGCTGCTGCTGCTGCTGCTGCTGCTGCTGCTGCTGCTGCTGCTGCTGCTGCTGCTGCTGCTGCTGCTGCTGCTGCTGCTGCTGCTGCTGCTGCTGCTGCCGCCTTCGACGCTGCAGCTCCATTTGCCACGTAACCAAAGCAGAAAACTCCTCATCCAGCCCAGGATCTGCAGTGGAAACTGCACGAAACATCGACGATAGCGATTGATTATGAGAGGACCGACTAAGCTGCAGTGTTGAGACAGACACTGGCGAAGAAGCGGCAGCAAAGTGCTGTCCAGGAACATGCCGTGTGGATGGCAATGGTTGGGGAAGAGAGGCCAGAGGGGCTGCCGAAAATTGGCCAGGAGATGAGGAATCCAGTGGGGATAAAACAGGCGCTGGGCTTGTGGCAGCAGGTTCTAATGATCCATGCAGTGTATGTCTCGCTGCCGAACGCCCCATGGGGAGTTGAGGTGAAGAAGCATGCGGAATTGAAATAGGCTGTGGGGATGAAACAGGGGTTGTAGCAGCAGGTGGAGGGCCGATTCCATGGTGCCGCCGCGGAAAGATCGTTCCATGTTGTGCTGCTGGCCTTTCAATAAACTCATTTGCGGCTGTTCGCAACCTGATTCCAGCTGGTTTTGTGGTTGCTGGGAAGGCTGTGGGAAGGGCTGTTGGATCAATTCCTGGACTCTGGAGCTACAAGACTGATGCTTGTTGCTGCTGTTGTTGTTTTTGCTGCTGCTGCTGCTGCTGCTGCTGCTGCTGCTGCTGCTGCTGCTGCTGCTGCTGCTGCTGCTGCTGCTGCTGCTGATGCTGCAGAAATCCCAACAGCTGGATCATAGCCTCTTGGGTCATGCTCACACTCCCTCCTTGAGACCCTCCCCTCCTCTCACCAGCAGACTCAACTCCTCCAGGCATGATCAAGGGGGCTTTCAAGTTAGCGCCACTGATGTCAGCAATCATCCCTCGGGGCCCGCGCTCTCTATTAGAGTCTGTGACACCACCGGAAAATCCAAATCCTTCACGTGATATATTCCGCTAGAGGAAATTGCGGCCCCAGTAACGTCGGCAAAGGCAAAGCGCTCAAAATTGCTGTTTGTGACGTCGGAAACAACTTGTTGGGACGTTGAACGGATGATACTACTATCAGAAACTTTCAAGCCCTACAGAATGATCTTTGGGAAATGTTAGGCTGTGGAAGTGTTAGGCTGTGAAAGTGTTAGGATGTGAAAGTGAGGTGTGTTTTGGACAGGGTTGCAGTTCATGACAGGATGTATAGCTGGAGGCAGGCGTGAAGGATAATTTGACGCGGTTTGATACAGTCAACACATTTGATGCGGTTTTGGGTTTTGACGCGGTTTCTTTTCCACCTCTTTAGACCATTGCGCATCCGGATGAACCGTCCAAAACGAACCCAGAACCAAAACGGGGTGGGCAAAGGAGGTCACTCCTCCACCCACGAGACACACGCAGCTCCAGCAGGTTGTCAACGTCGTTGAACGTAGCGTTGAAAATAGTCAAAATAGGGCGGTTACGACAACCTGTCAGGGAAATGTATTTGTTCGTTAGACTTCGCCTTGCGGTACTGTACAGTACAAACATGTCAGTACCGTAACACCTGTCGTAGGGTGCGAGAAGGTCAAAAAGCTGTTGACGAGTGGTCAAAGGAGACTTGTAGTTCCGCACCTCTGCTCTGGACATTCAGTGCCCCGCCTCTTCTTCCGAAGCTGTCTGTTTTTTTGTCAACGATCGACGGTGTGTTACGGTTTGCATAATGCGATAGACGAACAATCGCGAGACGCTGCGATCCCATTGGGAGAACTTGCGAATCCTCCGCATGGGTGTTGGCGATCAACCACAGCACACATTCAACGCTCGATGCATTTCGTCAGACATTTGTCGTGATACGCCCATGTCTCTGCTGACGCGATGGGGGTTCACTCGTGATTGGGTGCGCGATGTGCACAACAGGTGCAAGAAGAACCCAGGTTTGAATGCATCGTTGACCAAACCCGAAGCCTGAATTACAAAACCGAGTCAACGGTAGGTTTGGGGGGTCTCAAAACCGTGGTTCGGAAGAATTGCGAAAACAACGCGTTGGCGAAACAGGGCGACGATTTTGGAAGTCAGGACTTTCCAACCTGAGCTGGAGAAGAGTGAAAAGCCCGTGCAACGGAACCACTTAGGGCGGGGGCAGCGCGTTCATTTTCCTGGCTTAGCCCGAAACAGTTACCAGATTCAGGGGTTTGTAACCCCGATTTAGGGTAACCTGTGGACACGACGGAGTATACAGTGGATGAACGGTGGCTGTTTTCCGTGCCGTCAATCGAACAAAACACGTTCCCACAACGTCCGCGAACAACCCGCGCATCATTTGAGAAAGCCCTTGAAAACGTCAGCGAAACCGCACCACGACTTCGTCAAGCGCGTACGACCCTCGCAAATCCAAGGGTTCGAGTGTCTGGTGTGCGCGAAGTTTTGCCACCTTCAATTCGGGGGCACAGGGTTACCTCGCTGGGTGGGCGGTTTGGCAAAAATGTGGCGGGTCCTGTGCCGGATTTTGGACGCGCGTGTCCCACCTGGGACACAAACTAAGCGCGGTACAAAAAAGCTACAGTAACCTCCAGATTCGACGGGTGTCAAAATTTTGTACAAGTGGCGAAAATGAACGCGCTGCCCCCGCCCTTATTCACTTCTGTATAAAATCCAAGCATCTAGCATACACCGGCCAGGCAGATTTAGCAAATAACTATGACATACCATCATTTTGAAAGCGCGGCGCCGAGACGCAATCGAGAAGAAACGTGTGCGCAATGGGCGAGTGTGTAGTGCGTAGAAAAGGAAAGAGTAGAGAATAAAAAATATAGCAACATCGCAATTCCTCCCCTTCCTGACGTGATGGAGTCCACTTCCCGTCGTCCCCGCTTCCCTTTCAACCGTCGTCCCGCTTCCCTTTCAACCGTCGTCCCCGCTTCCCCTTCCCGTCGTCCCCGCTTCCCCTTCCCGTCGTCCCCGCTTCTCCTTCCCGTCGTCCCCGCTTCCCCTTCCCGTCGTCCCCGCTTCCCCGTCCCGTCGTCCCCGCTTCCCCGTCCCGTCGTCCCCGCTTCCTCTCCCCGTTGTCCCTGCGGAGATTAACTCTATAACAGTGGAGCTAGACTACGCGGTTGGCACGAGTTGTCAGAGTGATCGTAGTTGTGTCAGTGTTCTCTAGGACTTGTGTTTTCACAGGGCAAAACAACAAGAGTTTCACTATGAAAGTTGAGAACAACAGACTTCACAATGAACATGCAATGGCAAAGATTGACTACATCACATGCAAGGTTTGCTAGCACTCAGGCAGGTCGATCGCCAGCACGACAAAGTTGACGACCTGCCAACGCAGCATCTCCACGGCCCGCCAACGCAGCTGGTGTGCGACTTGCCAACGCTGCAGAATGGCGGCCTGCCAACGCTGCATCCGCGCGGCTTGCCAACGCAGCATCCGCGCGGCTTGCCAACATTGCATCCGCAGGTGATTGTAAGCACATCTACAAGCACCTACATCGCAGGTGCTTGTAGACAGTTATGCACGACGTGCACTGTCAAGTACATTGCGCAGGTTGTCAGCCACATGCCAATGGTTGCACCTGACGAGCCACGTCGACCACGTACTGCCACGTCAGTTGACTTCGCCACAGCAGCTTTGACGACGTTCGCGCACCTTCACTCACCTCGTCGAGCAGGTAACTTGGTCAACCAGGAAAGGTTCCTGGCAACTCTGCAGGATGATGACCTTCGTCATCACCGGTTCACGACCTTCGTCGTCGCGGGTCGGGGTCAACGACCTTCGTCGGCCATCTTCGTCGGACACCTCGGTCGAGATTCCAAAATGTCAGCTCCTGATTGGTCGAAATTAAGGCACATTCGAATTTCTGGCCAAAATTCGCTTGTACAGTCTCAAGGGTGCGCAGGGTCAGACGTGACCCTGCGCAGACGAACGCCCGCGAACCTCTGCACGAGCTGCGCCACTTGTACATGCATACGGGAAGGCTGAGTTGCACTCACGGATGCTTCAATTACTCTTGCATGGATTCCCTAGTACACCTCGTGTACAGGCAACCCTCGTACACCTGCAGAAGGTCGGCTGCACCTCCCGCACACCTGACCATGAAGTCAGTTTTGCCCATGCGAGGGCGGGGCCAATTTCCTTCAACACTCCCCTGCCGCGCTCACGCTTGGGCACCCCACGCACAAGGTCCACTCATGACCTAAGGGATAGAATACACGGGGAAATCCTTCGGCGTGCACACAACACACAGCACGCCAGTCACCGCACCAGCCGTGCAGAAGGGCACGGCACCTACTGCTGCACATCGTCGTCACCGTCGCCAACGTCAGCCAGACGAACTTGGCCGATCGCGACGGAGCACCGGTTGAAGGCCGGTGTGAGAGTACGACGGCTTATGCCAGCTATGCATGCTTGCCTTTACTTTATTATGCTACTTCTAGCTTAGGTTTATTTTATGCATGCATGAATTGCTTGATTTCCTAGGCTAGGTGCTTTCCTATATTTTATTATAGTTATAGCACCGAGCTAGGTTGCGTACACCAAATTCTGGGCTATTCGGTTGCCACCGAATTGCCTTCTACTGAATTCGGGAAGGGTCTGTTCGGGACGCTTCGCGACCCCCAGAACCTTCGTGTAATACCTGGTTACTGCACTTATGTCGAGCCTATATATAGCCTCGTGTTGTACCCAGGTGATCATTCAATTCAAACTCTCTTTTCTGAGCTCGATCCTAGATCCTCACACTTGGTAATCAGAGCCTGTTTGCACGCGAAGTTTTTCGACCGCTAAAACCTAGCTTTTAAAACCGCGGGGGCGACGACGGGAATCGCCGATTTCTGTGAAAAGAAGAACGAGGAATGATTGCATTGAGCAGCATGAGGAGTACAAGTACCAAACCCTAGAATGTTGTACCCCATATAAGCTACCCCACTACAGCCTACACAGACTATAGTGTATAAGTTTGACACACCCCATAGGCAAAGTGGGGGAGAACAAGGGGTCACAAGACCAGTCAAGCAAAGCAAGGCAAAGCAAGCTCAGGGTGGATCACAACGTCACCACACAGTCTGAGCACAAGTTCAAGGCCACAAGGCCAGTTCACATGCAAGGGTACATATATATAACGCTAAACAAGCAAGGGCAGGTATATATATGTAACAGTACAAGCAAGGTCAAGAAGTAAGCAAGTGAGGCAAGGTAGGCACAAGACCTAACAGAGTACAGAAGCGCTGATGATCACAAGGCGCGAGTGCCTTGGTGAAGATATCAGCAGTGTTGGCCTCAGAGGCCACGTAAGCAAGGCGCAGCTGACCACGCTGCTGCAGCTCACGAGCAAGGAAGTAGCGGAGAGCGATGTGCTTCGTTCTGTGCTCCAGTCTGTGCTCCCGACACAAGGCCAGCATGGCCTTGTTGTCTACGTACAGCACTGGAGGAGAACGAGGCCGCTCTCCCAGGTCAGTCAGCAGGTAGGTGAGCCAGCGTAACTCCTGTGCAGCCATGGCCCCTGCGTAGATCTCAGCCTCACAACTGGAGCCGAGAACAGAAGACGAGCGGGTAGACCGCCACGAAACAGAGCCGGAGCCAAGGCTGAAGGTGTAACCCTGTGACGACCGCTGCGTAGCCTGGTCGTCAGCCCAAGAAGCGTCTGCGTGACCAGTGAGGACCACTGGACTCTGCCCTCCAAGCACAAGCCCCATGCCCGACGTACTGCACAAGTAGCGCAACACCCTCTTCGCTGCAGCCATGTGCTCTGGTCTGTGTCTCCCAGGAGCAACATAGCGTGCCAGAATGCTAAGAGGGTATGCAAGGTCAGGTCCAGTGCAGGTCATCAGGTACATGAGGCAGCCAACAAGCTCTGGGTACGGGCCACTCGACTCTACGGACTCATCCGAAGGCAGAGCTGAGAGCGAGTGGCGAGTAGGCAGAGGAGTGGCCTGAGGCGAGGAGTACGTGAAGCCAGGGTAATGGTGCACTGTGCTCTGTCCCGGGTGATCTGCAAGCCAAGGTAGCTGCGCAGTTCACCCAGGTCTGTGCACGTGTGTCTCTTCTGCAGCTCGGACTTCACGTAGGCAAGTCCAGCAGTGTCAGCTGTAGCAAAGACCAAGTCGTCGACGTACACGAGGATGTAGAACGGCGGCAAAGAAGTGTCGGTGCGCAGAAACAGCGACGGGTCGGCAGTAGAAGGAGCAAACCCAAGAGCCACAAGTGTAGTCCTCAGTGTGTCGTGCCACTCACGAGGCGCCTAGCGGAGACCGTAGACTGGCCGCCGGAGGCTCCACTGGGTGCCAGGAGGAAAAGTCCCAGTGAAGCCAGGTGGGCGGCGCAGCCAGATCTCCTCGTGCAGGCTGCCCTGCAAGAAAGCAGTGCTGAAGTCAAGAGAGTGCAGCTCGTAGTCTCGGTGAGCGGCTATGTGCAGCAGTACCCGAAGAGTGGTCATCTTCGGGGTGGGAGAGAAGGTCTGAAAGTAGTCAACTCCCTGCCGCTGACTGAAGCCACGAGCCACGTAACGCGCCTTGAAGACAGGCGGAGAACCCGGCGGCCGCTTCACCCTGAAAATCCGCATGCCACTGACGATGTTCGCCCCAGGCGGGGGAACCTCGTCAACGTAGGTGCCTGTGGACTTCCAGGAAGCCATCTCTGCGTCCATGGCTGC